GCGAGAGAGGTGTGTCAGGATCGTGCCAAATGGAAGTCTGTAGTCTCTGCCTACCCCTCTGGGTGACAGGCGTGAGTGTTTATGTATATATATGTTATTAAGACCAACAACTATCGGAGATACATCGTAAAGGATGGCACCGTCGACGTCTGTCGAGCTTGTCGCCATCCCGGTGAGTCGCTTAGGCATGTCATCTCCGGTTGTTCGGCGCTTTTTAACTCTGAGTACTTGCACAGGCACAACCTAGTTGCCAGAATTCTACACCAGGAGCTCGCTCTGAAATACGGTAAAATTGCCGTATTACAAGTACTTGCCGGAAGCCGTGCTCGAAAATGACCGCGCCAGGCTCTACTGGGACCGGGCCATCATCACAGACAGGACTATTCTTGCGAATAAGCCTGATATTGTGCTGATGGACCGGGCACGGTCAAGGATATTTTTGGTCGACATTATCATTGCGTATGACGAGAACCTCGTGAAAGCCGAAACAGATAAGCGAACAAAATATCTGGACCTGGCTCACGAGGTGACAGACATGTGGGGAATTATTCCTGTAGTCGTCTCCGCGAATGGGCTAATCCCAGTCAGTCTCTCGGGTCATCTGAGGCGACTGGGACTCTGTGACGGACCGCTCCGGGCTCAAATGCAGAAGGCAGTGGTCCTCGACACCGCCCGCATCGTCCGTCGGTTTCTTTCCCTTTCCTCCTAACTCTCGGCCGTTTGGTCTCCCCTGCCGAGGGCTTCCATCTGGTTGGTTCTTTATTTATTTGTGTATTTTTTGTATTTATTTTATTTTATTGATATTTATGTATATTTATCTTTTCATTTTAATTTATAATTATATATTTATAGAAACCAACCAGATGAGAAAACATACCCCAATAATAATAATAGTAATAATAATAATAAAAAGGCGTAGGGAATTGACGACCCCATCGCCCGCTGACGTAACAGTTAAGTGACAAAACTGCTACGTCAACGCAGTCAGTCAGCGCCTTGCGAGAGGTGTGAGCGCCGTGCCGCGGCAGAATTTAGGGTGCAGAGGCCCGTTTGTGCTTATGGCTACACACGAAACGGTGCCGGGCCTGGGCGTCTCCCGTTAATGGACGCCCAAGTAATGGATGATGGATAAAAAGATAGTGCGCAAAGGGCCGCTGCCTGGGGGTCGCCGGGGCGCGTCTGGAGCTGGCGCTGGACGCGGCAGCATGCGGGCCGCCAGCCGAGCGCGAGGAGCTGCACGGTCACCTACCAGCCCTCCGCATCCATCATCCCCACCAGAAGGCTTGGTGTCGGCTGGGTCTTCTCGGACTCAGCAAGCGGCACCCGCCGCTGGTGGAGCACGTCGCATGCGTTGGTCACAAGAAATGAATGCAAACGCATTGCGGGCGTACTTTAGGGCAAAAGGGGAAGAAACTGGATGTTTGGCGTATCGGACTAGGATGCATCGTCTTTTTGCTGAGCTGGAGCCATCTTTAACCGTCACAGAGCAAAACCTGGCAGACCGAGTTCGGTATATCTTGCGCTCAAATATATTTGATGTCGCCGAACTCGAACGGCTACGACGTGAGGCTGTTCCCTCGTCGGATGAGAATGCTACGGCTGAGGATGCGGCGCCACAAATGGTAGAGCAACCCGCAAACGTGGATGCCGCCGTGAATACCCCAGTTGTGGTTGATTCAATCGATGATGGAAAAGTCGCCCAGGAACTGGAATTAGAGCATATGAGGAGTATATTGGAAGAGGCGATTGTGGAAACGCGCAGTACGCCTCTCGAAAATCGACCGCGACTTCCCCGCATAGCCCTAAGCAAGCGGTATCGGGCTGTCGTGAGGGCTCTGAACCCAATGCTGGTTACCTATTTGGAAGCCAGCCGGGACCTTTGAGAGACGGACTCAATTCTTTTTGGCGCCGCGCTGGCAGTCTGCCGTATCATAGGCGCCAAGGTTTCCACGGCTGGACGCGCTACTGGCCATAGTAGCGCTATCCCAGCATGGAGAAGAAGAATTGAGGAACGTATCGCAAAGGCTAGAGCTCTCATCGGCAGACTGATATGCTTCAGATCAGGCAACAACAGGCCAAGAATTATGCGCACAGTCAGGATGGCGTTTGCTGGGACAAATGTCAGTTTGTCCCAGCCGGATATAACGCAAAAACTGACGGAGCGCATAGATGATCTGAAGCAGAGAATCGCTGCTTGGGGAAAGCGGATTCGGCGATATACCGAGAGGTCGACACGGTTCAACCAGAATCGTCTCTTCCAGAGTGATCAGAAGAGGCTCTATGAATCATTGGAGCGACCAATGGTAAGTGGAACGGGTCCAGCACCGAATCAGGCCGACACTGTAGCATTCTGGCGCGGCCTGTGGTCAGAGCCCGTAAACCATAGCGAGGGCCCTTGGACGGAAGTTGTGGCGAGTCAGTGTGCGGGTATTACGCCCATGGACCCCGTCATCATAACGCCGGATGACATAGCTGAGGCGGTCCGTAGGGCCCCGAACTGGAAAAGTCCGGGGCTTGACGGGCTGCATCACTACTGGCTGAAGGGGTTCATGGTGTGTCACTCTGTGCTCGCCCGACAGTTTCAAGAGGCTCTCAACCAGAAGTCGCTCCCAAGCCTCTTCACTACTGGGATCACTCATTTGGTTCCTAAAGACCAGGGTACCACAGACCCGAGCAAATACCGCCCCATCACGTGTCTACCGACCATATACAAGACACTAACATCCATTTTGAGCGCGAGAATCACTTGTCACCTGGACTCAAATCAGGTGATGTCGCGCGCTCAAAATGGATGTCGGGGCGGTGGTCGTGGAACCAAGGAACCACTCCTCATTGACGCGGTCATTGGCAAAGTGGTGAAACGCAACCGTCGGAACTTCTCCGCCGCCTGGATAGACTACAGAAAGGCATTCGACTCAGTGCCCCATACATGGCTAAAGAGAGTCCTCGAGCTGTACAAGATAGACTGTACAGTTAGAGACTTCCTTGAGCAGTGTATGGGGCAGTGAGTACGATCCTTTGCCATCTGGGCGAGCGGATGATGGCTGCGGAGAACCACATAAGGATAAGAAGGGGTATCTTCCAGGGCGATTGTCTGAGTCCAATCTGGTTCTGCCTCTCTCTGAACCCTCTCAGTACCTTACTGGAGGGCTCCGGGAGGGGATTTCAGCTACGGAAAGGAGGGACAAAAGTGACCCACCTTTTCTATATGGATGACCTCAAGTTATTCGCCTCCAGTCGCTCCCATCTTATGGAATTGCTAAACATCACTTGTGAATTTAGCAATTCCATTGGAATGGAGCTGGGGACGGATAAGTGTGCGGTCCTCCATGTTGAAAGGGGAAGGGTTGCTAACTCTGAGGGCGTAGACTTATCTATGCCCGTCAACTTAAGGACCCTTTCCGAGGCTGAAACATACCGATACCTGGGTATGTCACAAAACATCGGTATCGATGAGACTGGTATGAAACAGTCAGTTTGCGACGTGTTTTATGCACGCTTGACCAAAGTGCTTAACAGCCTTTTGTCCGGTGTGAATAAGGCACACGCATATAACGGCTGGGTCATGCCTGTCCTCATGTATACCTTTGGCATACTCAGGTGGACTCAGACTGAACTTAACGCCCTGGATAGAAAAGTCCGCACTACAATGACGTCCCATAGGATGCATCATCCGAGATCGTCGGTAATGAGGCTGTATTTGCCGCGGAAGCATGGTGGTCGTGGCTTCTTGAGCGCGCTCACCATGCATAATCGCGAAGTGTGCAGCCTCCGTGATTACTTCCTGGCGAGATCGGATGATCCATTCTATAAGGACGTCATTTCTTGTGATAAAGGACTTACCCCTCTATCCTTAGCCAACGAGCAATGGCAAGACCCGGCAGTGCAGAGCATTTCCGACCGGGAGACCGTATGGAAGGAGAAGGAGCTCCACGGGAGGTTCTACAAGGCTCTACATGAGCCTTTCGTAGATACAGTAGCCTCCCTCCACTGGCTACGCTTTGGTGATCTCTTCGGGGAAACCGAGGGTTTTGTCTGTGCAATACAGGATCAGGTTATTAAGACCAACAACTATCGGAGATACATCCTAAAGGATGGCACCGTCGACATCTGTCGAGCTTGTCGCCATCCCGGTGAGTCACTTAGGCATGTTATCTCCGGTTGTTCGGCGCTTTCTAACTCTGAGTACTTGCACAGGCACAACCTAGTAGCCAGAATTCTACACCAGGAGCTCGCTCTGAAATACGGTCTCGTGGATCGGAAATTGCCGTATTACAAGTACTTGCCGGAAGCCGTGCTCGAAAATGATCGCGCCAGGCTCTATTGGGACCGGGCCATCATCACAGACAGGACTATTCTTGCGAATAAGCCTGATATTGTGCTGATGGACCGGGCACGGTCAAGGATATTTTTGGTCGACATTACCATTCCGTATGACGAGAACCTCGTGAAAGCCGAAACAGACAAGCAAACAAAATATCTGGACCTGGCTCACGAGGTGACCGACATGTGGGGTGGTCTGCCGACCGAAATTATTCCTGTAGTCGTCTCTGCAAACGGGCTAATCCCAGTCAGCCTCTCGGGTCATCTGAGGCGGCTGGGACTACGTGGCGGACCGCTCCAGGTTCAAATGCAGAAGGCGGTGCTCCTCGATACCGCCCGCATCGTCCGCCGGTTTCTTTCCCTTTCCCCCTAACCCTCGGCCGTTTGGTCTCCCTTGCCGAGGGCCTCCATCTGGTTGGGCTTTTATTTATTTATGTACTTTTATATTTATTTTATGTTATTGATATTTATGTATATTTATCTTTTCATTTTCATTTATAATTATATATTTATGGCACCCAACCAGATGAGAAAACTATATGGATACCCCAAAATAATAATAAACTTTATTAGCGTAATTACATTGCTTTCCTATACAATAAGCTCTTTTACAATATGTTTAAAATAAGCTATGTACAATTTTTTTAATTTGCTTACTTCGGTTACTGCCGGCTGTACTAGGCCGAGCCAGTATCACAGACGGCAGTTCCTTCCTCCTGATTAGCTGTTACTGCTTCTAAATGCGCGATCCATAGGCGTGGTGACAGTTCCACCGAGGAGGGTCCTGGAGTTGGGACGGACATTGGTTGGTATTTCGGATTCATTGTTGTATTTATTTGCACTTCACACTAATTTCAGTTCAAATTCGAAGTTCGTGGTCACCACTGTGCAGGTCGCTATGTACTGTGTGTGAATTAGAGCGTCCCTGCATCAAATCAGGTCGATAAATAGAAGTCACTGGTTTAACGACACTGTTTATTTTATGAATCCGACACGTTCACATTTATGACTGACATCTGCACTTAATTACAAACGGGCGCATCGGCGAGACGCTAGAGACGACTGCCCGCGAGGGCGTTGCGCAGGTGCAGAAGTCTCAGGTTACATATTATCAATGTCATGTCGCTACAAAGATATGGAACATCACTCGACTGCGGGACGCGAACCTGCAAAATCGAGTCCAGCGCAGCTGTCCGATTAGCGGCCACGAACACCTACTACGGTGACTACAACGAAAAACCACATTACTTTTAATTTTGACGATTAATACTTACATTATTTGCTTTGTACTGGCATTACTTTACCTTGATAGTTTTTCTTTTTAGTTTATTTTACTTTTCTTTCGTGTTGCCAGTATGTACGGGCAAGCCATCGTACATACAACTTTGCGCTTACGTTTGCGACTTACTTTCGGGGCGCATGTTTAAATAGTAATCATTTTATTATATTTAACTTCAAATCAGTACGTCAACTACCGTCCCATTAAACACCTACCCACTGAAGGAAAGATTTGCCACAATAACATTATAACTATTTTACTTTTAATAAACCTTTAACTTGATGATCGTGATCCTCTCCTTTTGAAGTGCTCATCAACTAACTTTAACTCTATTTCTTGAAAGAGTATGGATGGCCCTACAAACCATACAGACAGAAAAAAAATTCATGTCTGCACCAGAACACAAGATAGTAATCGTAGTGAATAAGAATGAACTGTAATATTGATATTCAGTACATGACTATCTGTAAAGTATTTTTGTATAATGAATAAAAAACATGTAAGTAAGAAAAAAAATCAAAAATGTTACAAGAAAAGTCGTGTTCTCAATTTAACAAAATAATTAATTTAATAAAATATACATACATGAATAAATATTCGACAAAAACTAACCCCAGCGAAGCGGGTTTTCACAGCTATTGTACATATTTTACCAGATACCTCACGAAGAAGATTTTTGTCCAGTGCGTATATTCAAATGCCTTTGCGTTTACTAATACATCTATATTCACAGATATTACACTAATAAGGTTTTTCTCCATTGTGTATTTTTATGTGTCTTCTCATTGTACATTTTAGTATACATTTATATTCACAGAAATTACAAGAAAAAGATTTTACACCGGTGTGTATTTTCATATGTATTCCCAAATTACTTTTTCTATTACATCTATATTCACAGAGATTACACGAAAAAGGTTTTTCACCGGTGTGTGTTTTCATATGTGTTTGCAAATTACTTTTTAAATTACATCTAAATTCACAGATAATACACGAAAAAGGTTTTTCACCGGTGTGTGTTTTCATATGTGTTTGCAAATTACTTTTAAAATTACATCTAAATTCACAGATATTACACGAAAAAGGTTTTTCTCGTGCGTGTATTTTCATATGCTTTTGGAAGTTTTCTTTAATTGTACATTTATAATCACAAATATTACAACAGTACACTTGATTAGCGAGGTGCGCTTTAAGATGTGCTAAAATGTAAGGTTTTTGAGATGTTTTAAATTCGCAAATATAACAGTTATATATGTCCATTAGTTGTGATACTGGAGGTTGTTCAACTTGTGTCTGAACTGCATCAGAGTTCTTTTGCGTCTTATGACTGTATGATACATGGTCGGCGAGAATATCTTTTGTTAAATTTTTTATAATTTTTGCGGGATGCTTCCCTTTTTTAATAACAGGTTGAGTATCTCTTTTCAGTTTAGTCTTTGATTTAATAGTAGGGCTTTCTAAATCGAGGTTTCCTTTACGAACATCATTTATGTTACAATCAGTAGAATTTGATTTAATCTTTTTCTCACGCGGTTTTGAAAAATTATTTGTTTGTATGCAGGGTTGTTCTGAAATACAAATGAATCAAACATTTTATTTATTGTAAGACATTGTATCTTTATTGTAAGATACCTTAGACGGTTTACAGCGGTCGGAATTTATGCCTTACCAGGGAGATATAGAGAAATTATAATATTTTACATAATAACACTCATTTAATAAATAATGTCTCTCATGTTCATTTTTGGAGGGAAAGAATGGTAAAGAATCTAAATTCGAATAATAATGATGACGCTCTTCTGACCGTGTTATAATTACATTAATCTAATATTCGCTGGTTCGAATCCCACACAGAAAGTGTGTTATACATACATACATTTTGACCAGTATTTTTGTAGGTATTAAAAATATAGTCTAGGTAGTAATACCTATTAGAATAATCTATTCTAGACTAATGATCTATAATAATAATCGCTGTTTCGAACCCCACACAGAACTAGTGTTACACACACAATACATTCGAAGTTGGCGTGTAAGTTCGGCATAAGAGAATTCATCATCACATTTTATCCCGTGGGTTTCGAAGAGGCGACTTTGAGTTTGATTTTCCGACAGATGGCGGTATAACCACCTCGTTTACTTCAAATGTAAAATATCCAGACCGGCGACAGGCTACATTGCCAGAGGTGCTCACGTCTGGTTCTGCGATCGTCAATCCAATGCCAAGCAAGACAACTGAGGCAAACCCTCCCTACATCGGGAGAGATCCTTCCATGTTCAACAGTGGAAGTTTATGGGACGATTAAGATAGAGGAATTATTTTTTGGCCATACAAATACTCAAAACAATCCCTGGTAGCTCAGGGGCGAGTAGTTTGAAATAAAATTTCACAGCATGCTAGCAACCTAGGTTCGTTCTCCGCCAGCACCCATAAAATTGTTAATTTTCCATGTGTATATAGGTACAGGTTGTCCCAGTAATCGTCATAATAGTTAACAGAAAATTTAAAAAACCTTGGCTATGTATTTTAAAAATTACAGGCATTTATAAAATTCGAGAAAATCTACATCCTGTCACGGTCTTCTAACTCTTGTTGCTACAAATTTTAATTTTTTTAATTTTCTTCTTATTCTGTAATCCTGGATAATGCTTATGAAAATAATGCTTCTGTTTAAAATTTACAGCCAACTGCTGCAGTCCAGAAGGAAATGTAATTTTTTCCCAACCAAGTATTTAAAATTAATACTTTGCCCAGTTTTAAACGACTGTACTGAAATAAATTGTATTACACGAGTTTGGCAAGTAGCTTTAAATATTGGAGCATTTTAATAAGGATTCTAAAATGGTTTCAACTTGCAAGACTATTTGTTAAATTATGGATTTTTTTTTAAAGAAACCCTTTTTTTTGCCTTGCTTTTTGTGTAGCCCAAGACTTTTCTCAAGCCCGTTACTTAAGATTCTAGTTTGAGTGAAACGGAGGGAACCAGTTGACGAAGTGTGAACGAGACGACGAGTGACGTTAATGACAAAGATGGAGAGAGTAATTTTCCGTAGTTTGAGCGAGACAGATAGTGACGCTATTTTTTCAATGTTGCACACAAAATTACGTTCAGCACATTACGCTCCTTCGTTTACTGCGCATCTTTATTCGTTCTTGTCGATTTCGTACTGATCACATTTGGCTTCGTTTATTGGACTTTATAGCTTGTGATTTAGATTTGGCCTGTTTAGTTTCTCTTTATGACAGCCTAGTCTTATTGCGACCATGTCTACACTACACATGAATATGCTAACATGCCCCTCATTTATGCGGAATGCAGATGCAACGCTAGTGCCGCAGCTAGACTTTATCATGAGACGCACCCAAATGCTGCTCATCATCTGGATCATCGATTTTTTTAAAAAGTGCACCGTTTACTTTTTTCAGAGGGTCGACACCCAAACCAAGAACACGGTCAAGAGAGACTCTCCCTTACGAGGACGTGTTTTTTAGGTTAAGGGTGACAAACAAGCACACAGTCCACCTGGTGGTAAGTGGTTACTGCGGCCCATAGAAATCTACATCTATACTTGATTACAAACTAAAATGCAGATGCGTTGTCACGCGTGAAGACTAAGATGAAATGCCTCGTTTCCAGTAAAAGAAGTAAAATGTTCTCTACACTCACCATACGAAACACAGCAGCGTTGAGCTGTTATTTCACGCTGGTATTCTGTGAGAGCATAGTCCCTCTCCGGTCCGCTTATTGCAGCATGGCTCTACCACGAAAAACGCTCTAAAACGTTGTGCTAGAAGCTGTCGAAGAAGACCCGAGTACTTCAGTGCGTGCAATAAAATTAACAACTGGAGTGCCCAAAAGTTGAACTTACAGGATATTACAAGAAAATGAGCTTCACCCATACACACCTACTCCGAGTACAAACTCTTTTTCTCTGAGATTATGAGCCTCGGGTTGCTTTTTGTCAAACAATGCTAAAAAAAACAGGGAAGATCCTTGGACAAAAATTTATGGTCGGATACATACACATTTAAAAAACATGGACACAAGAATCTACATAACTTACACGAGTGACACATAGAAAATCAAAATTGATGAGAGAAGATAGATCACAGGTTCGGTTTAAGATTAACCTTTGGACCGGAATTTTGAATAAACATATAATCAGTCCTTTGGAGCTGCCAGAGATTTTGACCAGTGTAATGTATTTGGATTTAAAACTGGGCAAAATATTCATATTGAATACTTGGTTGGGAAAAATTACGTTTTCTTCCGGACTGGAGCAGTTGGCTGCAAATTTTAAGCAACAGTTTTCAGAAGCTATATTCAGGATTACACAATAAAAAGCAACAAGAGTTAAAAGACCGTCACAGGATGTAGATTTTCTCGGTTTTTTTATTATTGCCTGTAATTTTCAAAATACATAGCAAAGATTATTTTTTTATATTTTTCTGGTAACTATTATGACTTGGCTTATCACCAGATTCCGACTTGACGTCGACTTCTGAGACACCTGTATGTATATATAGGACTAAGATAGATAGCGTCTCCAGTTCTCTACACTCAACATACGAAACACAGCATCATTAAGCTACTATTTCACGTTGGCATTCTGTGAGAGCGCGGTCCTTCCCCAGTTAAGCTACTAAGCACCCATTTGTACTGCAGCCATAAACCAGCTATATTGTGACTCTATACATCTCCAACTACATGATGCAAGAGAAATTTCTAATGTGGTGGTATTCTTTATTTTTTGATACAGGTTTTTTAAAATAAATTATTTTACCTATGTCATCGTCATCTGCTTTACTCTTTGAACCAAATGCAATTAGTGGCAAGTCGCCTTCCGTATCCTTATGTCGATCTTCAAAAGCATCAATCTCCAAGTCTTCTTGTTTTTCATCAGTATCTAAAATGAAAAATATTCTGACTCAATATATAAAATAAAACCTGATATTTTTTCCAAGCAACTAGATCATTACAGTCCATCACACAGCTTATGGGTCCGAGCCATGTTCATAATTCATAAGCTATGTGTAATAACCTTAAGTGGCAATGGGCCGAAGAACTGACAACTGATGGAGAAGGTTCTCCTAACGTGACGTAGTTTAGTTTTGTTTACGACGGGCTGTTTTCCGCAACTCCACGTCTAAGCACGTATTTTGCGTGTGGGTAGGAATAATGTGATTATTCGAGCCATGAAATCTCCCTGAAAAGTTTAACAGTCCTTTGATGTTGCAAGCAACTTCGGAGAGCATTCCCGGCTTGCCGTGATGTTTAGCCCTGTATGAAGCGACCTCCGGACATGTCAGCAACACGTTAGCCGCCGTTACTTCCTCCCCCATGCATGCCTTGCACGGGGGGCTATCTGTAACAACTATGGTAAACAAATGTTTGTTAAAAGAGCCATGTCCCGTGATAGCACTTGTTACTTATCCTGATCTGTGGGTTGTTCAGTTTCATTAGAAATTTGGTTAGACGACTGTTTATTTCAGGCAGGGCCTCCCTAGCTTGTCTACAGTCTACTAATTTTTTCCGAAGCTGAGTGAGTAAATTATTGAAGTTTCTACGTACCAGTAAACGAACATAGCTAAAGGGGAGTGGTATAATTGGTTCCGGCCCTATAGTGGCCAGTCGATCCCCTTCTGGCCAGTTCATCTACCGCATCATTACCTCTAGATCCACTGTGTACCTTAATCTATTGGAGAGTCACATTGTTGTGCTTACATACCTCATTTAATAGTTGATGGCATTCATATATTAGCCCCGAGTTCGCCACATTACAACTCAGAGCTTGTAGTACGGTCATACTGTCGGTCAGTATTCTGATGGAGAAGTCTTTGACCTTCCTAGCATCTATTGCTATGGATGCTTGGATGATACCTATACATAAAGCCTGGAAGACTTATGGGTACCTGGCGGTGTACATATGTGGATATTAAGATCTTCAGAGAAAGTTCCAGATCCTAAACCTTCATTTGTTTTAGAACCATCTGTGAAAACTAAGCTCTTTTGGATTTCATTCCTCAGGCTGGTCGGTTTCATTTAATTGTATCTTGTACTTCTAATTGAATACAAATTGTTTTGGGATCCTATCGTACTTGGCTTGTAAGATAGGAATTTTTGAGTAAATTCTATCAATTATACCTGTATGGGGGACTCTACTCTTACTTAAAAGATTTAGGGTCTTGAGTCTAATGGTAGCTAAAGTTGCTTCTTCTTGTCTTATATGTAGATGAAGCGGTGTTAGCTCCAGTGTAGCCTCTAAAGCTGCTGTTGCTGTAGTTCTTATGCAGCCGGACATGCCAATCTTTGTTAACGGTATAATTTTTGGCATCAAACCCCATCATTTGTCAATCATGTTTCTGCATTGCCAGTAAGTTATACTAGTTTTGTTGATTTTCTTTTTTATGTATTTATTCCAGTTTAGTTTCTGTTCAATTTAAGACCTAAGTTATTTTACCTCAGAGGATAGCTGGAGTAATGTGGTGAAAAGACTTGGGAGATGATAGTTATTCAGCATTCATTTTTGTGTGAACATTACTAGAACCGTTTTGTTCGGATCAACGGTTAGGTTATATTCCCTGCAACATCTCTCCACTATACAGAAAACCGCTTGGGTCAGGTCGCACACCATGCTTGCTGTCTTTCCAGAAACCATTATTGTCAGATCATTTACATAACCTACTGTGTAGAAATGATTAGCATTTAATTTGCTGATGAGTTCATTAATGACCATATTCCACAGGAGAGGTGAAAGAACCCCACCCTGCGGGCATCCTTTCATGATCTGAATTGTTTGAGATTCACCAGTAATCTTTATTGTTCGTGTACTGAGTATGTTTACTATCCAGTCAATCAGTGCCGGTTCAACTTTATGTCTACTTAGTGCACCTTTTATGCCGGAGAAGTTTGTTCTGTCAAAAGCGCCTTCTACGTCTGAAGGAGCCTAGACGTATTACGTTGTTAGTTTAGTTGTTAGTGCTACGGGCTGTTTTCCGCAACTCCACGTCTATGCGCGTATTTTGCGTGTGGGCAGGAATAATGTGATTATTCGAGCCATGAGATCTCCCCGAAGAAGCTCAACAGTCCCTTGATGTTGCATGCAACTTCGGGGAGTGATCCCGGCGTGTCGAGATGTTTAGCCCTGTACGTAGCGACCTCCGGACATTTCAGTAGCACGTGGGCCGCCGTTTCTTCCTCCCCCATACATGCCCTGCACAGGGGACTATCTGTAACACCTATAGTAAATAAATGTTTGTTAAAGGTGCCGTGTCCTGTGATAGCACTTGTTACTATCCTGATCTGCGGCTTGTTCAGTCTCATTAGAACTTTGGTTAAGCGACTGTTTATTACAGGTAGGGCCTCCCTAGCTTGTCTACAGTCTACTAGATTTTTCCAAAGCTGAGCGTGTTGATTAGTGAAGTGTCTACGTACCATTGAACGAACGTTACCAAAGGGGATTGGTATGATTGGTTCCGGCCCTATAGTGGCCAGAGCCGATCCTCTTCTGGCCAGTTCGTCCGCTGCATCGTTGCCTCTGGATCCACTGTGTCCCTTTATCCATTGCAGAGTCACATTGCTGTTTTTACATACCTCATTTAATCGTTGATGGCATTCATATATTAGTCCCGAGTTCACCCCATTGCAACTCAGAGCTTGTAGTACCGCCCTACTGTCGGTCAGTATTCTAGTGGGGAAGTCATTAACCTTCCTAGCATCTATTGCTATGGCCGCTTGAATGATACCCATACATTCCGCCTGAAAGACCGTGTTATAGGTACACAGCGGTGTGCATATGTGAATATTGAGGTCTTCAGAGAAAGCTCCAGAACCTACACCTTCATTTGTTTTAGAACCATCGGTGAAAATTCTAAGCTCTTTTGGGCTTAATCCTTCCGGCTGACTGTTTTCATTTAATTGTATCTTGTATTTCTTATCGAAAACAAATTGTTTTGGAATCCTATCGTATTTGGCTGTAGGATAGGAATTTCTGAGTGAATTCTATCAATTATGCCTGTATGAGGGACTCTATTCTTACTCCAAAGATTTAGGGTCTTGAGTCTGATGGCAGCTAAAGTCGCTTCTTGTTGTATATGTAGATGAAGCGGAGTTAGCTCCAGCATCGCTTCCAAAGCTGCTGTTGGCGTAGTTCTTATGCAGCCTGTGGCAGCCATACATGCCAGTCTCTGGTAGCGCTGAAGCTTCTTAATTGTGGTGGCTTCATTGGTCTTGGTCCACCATACCAGAACGCCGTATGTGATCATGGGCCGAATTACAGTTTTGTAAAGCCACAGTACGATTTTTGGCGTCAGTCCCCATCTTTTGCCAATCATGTTTCTGCATTGCCAGAAAGTTATACTAGCTTTGTTGATTTTGTTTTCTATGTGTTTATTCCAGAAGATGTTTATGTTGTTAAGTTTGCTGTCCAAGGAAAGACCTAAATATTTTACCTCAGAGGATAGCTGGAGTTTTGTGCTGAAAAGACTTGGAAGATGATAGTTATTCAGCATTCGTTTTTGTGTGAACATTACTAAAACCGTTTTATTTGGGTTGACGGTTAAGTCGTATTCACTGCACCATCTCTCCACTATACGGAGAGCCGCTTGGGTCAGGTCGCACACTATGCTAGCTGTCTTTCCCGAGACCAGTATAGTCAGGTCATCAGCATAACCTACTGTATAGAAGTGATTAGTATTTAATTTGATGATGAGTTCATTAATGACCATATTCCACAGGAGAGGTGAGAGGACCCCACCCTGCGGGCAACCTTTCTTAATTAGGATTGGTTGAGATTCACCAGCAATCTTTATTATTCGTGTACTGAGCATGCAAACTATCCAGTCGATCAGTGCCGGTTCAACTTTATGTCTAGTGAGTGCACCTTTTACGCTGGAGAAGTTTGTTCTGTCAAAAGCACCTTCTATATCTATGAAGGAACCTAGACATATTTCTTTGTTTTGGATGGCCTCTTCAATCTTTGTAATTACCTGATGAAGTGCCGATTCTGTTGATTTGCCTAGACTGTAGGCGTGTTGCTTGTCGTGTAGTGGTAAGTTCATTAGTGCCGACCCCCTTAAGGGGAAATATAATGTCAAATGGCTTAGCAAGATCCTTCGTTATGCCGAAAATATTGCAGCATTAATTTTGAAATAAATATATGGTAAAGTTGAGGATTAATGTTAATGATTATGTTAGACGAAAACACGATTTCGTAAAATTTTCTCGATAGAAAAAAAAATCCAAAGTTACCTCCAAAAAAAACAATAAACCGCTGTTAATCATAAAATACTTTAAATAAGATCATGAAACTTTGCATACTAACTGAACTAACTATAAAGCAGTGCTTATGTTATTTACTTTTTTTAAAATACCATTATTTTCACTGTAAAAAGAAATTACCTAAACAATCGGCGTCTTGAGCTTGATTCCTGTCGCACCGTTAGTATCGCTTAGGCTTTTGAAGGGAGAAGTTGTGTCGCTTACGATCAGAATATACATTACGCAACAGTACGACGTAAAATTAAAATGGGAAATAACCGTGATAAAAATAAGAAGCGGCTGGCTTGGCGTTAAGAAACATGCATAAATATGATAAACCTAATGAAATAAGTGTCTAACGACCTTTCTACTTACAGTATTAGTGATTACAAACATATCGGTACATAGCATACGCGCGGGGAAGTGGGGGGCGAAATTAGAATTTGAGCTGACTTACTCTATCCTCTTAATTCCCTTTCACACATCCTCCCCATCGTCTTTAGGAGAAAGGATGTGAGGCTAATGGGCTTGTAGGATTTAGGGTCAGTGTAATCGCTCTTACCTGGTTTGGGTATAAATGTGACTTTCACTTCCCTCCATCCCCTAGGAACATATTTTAGAGCCAGACATGCTCTCATTATGGCAACAAGTCTGACCACTAGGGCGTTACCCCCCCCCCCCTTCCCCACTGTAGAAGTGCCGGGAATATGCCGTCAGGTCCTACCGCCTTATAAGGGAGGAAACTATGAATGGCCCATTGGATTTTGTCCATTGTCACCACTCTCTGTGCTAAATATCAGTCTTCTTCTGTTGTTGTCAGTGCCTCTTCATGCCGGTTTCCCTTTCAACTACACAGCAATCTGGGAAGTGAGTATCAATTAGGATGCGTTGGGTTTCATCCGGCAATGTTGAGTAGCTTCCGCTAGCTAGCTAGGATTTTCCTTATCCGAATCGTTTGTTCACAGGTTTCTATGTTACCACAGAATTTGCGCCACCCTGTTGAGCGTCGATACCTGATACATTTTTTGTATTCAGCCTTAGCTTTCTTATATAGAAGCCAGTCTTCATTAATTGAGGTATCCATGGCCCTATTTAGGGCTTTTCTTACCTTCTTATGTTTCCTGTCTTGTTCTTTACTCCACCATGGTTGCTTTAGTTAGCATGTTCTGGTGGAGTGATTACTGGACATGATTCATGTTAGCTATCGATTATGGCTTTAGTAACAGCTGCTACCTGTTCTTCTAAGAGCGAATGATCTGCTATGGTATTAGTTAGACCCCAACACCCGTGAGCGAAGATGTCAGCCTATTGAGGTACTTTGTTTTACCCGTCTTGCGGGGATTTCTCCGTGGTGGTATAGCAGGGATGTCGACATCTAGTACGCAGCAGATCCATCTGTGGTCTGAGTATGAGGCCTCTTTCGACACATGCCATCCCGTTATTAGTTTATCTGCTCCTTCTGTTGCAAGTGTGAGGTCGATGATTGTGCAATAGCGTTTATTAATGAAAGTTGGTTTAGAACTAGTGTCTAAAATGGTTAGGTTAGTGCTAAATATATATTCAAATAACACCTTACCTCGTTAATTGGGTTTTCCCATCCCCAAAGGGGATGACGTGACGTTATTGTGGCAGCCTCGTGCCAGTAGACAAAGTGTAGGGCGGTCCCCCACTAGATGGAGTGGCGACCCGGTAAGACATGCAGGAAGTCGATGGATGCAGGTGGCTCAGGATCGTGCTTTGTAGTGATTCTTGGGGAGGCCTATGTTCAGCAGTGGACTTGTGAAGGGCTGTAATGATGATGATGATTCATTCACCTAATTTAGTGAGTAGGGCGGTCCCCTACTAAATGGAGTGACGACCTGGTAAGACAAGCAGCAAGTCGATGGATGCAGGTGACTCAGGACCGTACTTTGTAGTGATCCTTGGTGAGGCCTATGTTCTGGGCTGTAATGATGATGATTCATTCACCTCATTTAGTGAGTGTTCTGCCACAACTTGTTTTAGTAGGTGAGTGCTTGCCAGTATAAGGGTACCTTGAGCACCTTTTCTGCGTTTTTTTAAAGTATGAAGTGACAATCAAACTGACAGCCCACCTTATGGTATGTAGCCGATCCACTTGATCTGAAGTGGGTACTACAGTCTTATGCTGTGCTCACTTCAAACATCAAAAAGTTACAATGCGGTGTCACCTCTGATGTCTAAGATGGAATACCCCACAGCCTGTGATTATACTTACTCTATACTTTTCAGACTGGCAAACAGCAATGCACGCACTGCTATTTGACGACAGAAATAGACAACAGGAGGAAGGAGGAGTCAATCTGAGTTAAGAAATTGGTAAAGATAGGTGGTAGCTTACCAGTTGTAAGTATATCATTAATACCTATGAATTTATAAGAAATACAGGGACAATATATTTATAAATAAATTTATACATAAGTAAAGGAAAATGTCCAACAAGGCTCATTATGATGTCCATGTATGTTTATCTTTTAAATAATTATTTAATTTGTTATTTTCTTTCTCCATGAGAGGGCTTTTGATATGCACTTTGAATTTAGGCAAAGGCAAATAAGTACATTGTACATGAAGCCCTCTTTATTTTGTGTCCATGGGCTACAGTAACCACTTGCCATTATGTAAACTGTACCTTAATTTAATAATATCACAAAATGTGCCATATATCTTACCTATTTCATAACTCCAGTTTACTTCAAATTTGAAGTTCTCATTTTCGATTTTCTCTTCCTCAACAGATTCAAGGCTATAAATGTCCTCCTTATAACCATTTTCTATATCGCACTCTACTGGCCAGATATCTATATGATTAATTGGTGTGAATTGAATCTCATCTCTAGCCTCATGCGGTTTTCGTATTGACTGAAACCAAACTCTTTTTGATATAAGAGAAAAAGTCAGTGTAGTAGTGGTGTAGGAGAACCCATACTACCGCATACCATCCCGCAGATGCAGCAGCATCTTCCAGACAACAATTCCAAATAATTATAAAAACCGGACAAAAGTGAGAGTTCCCAATAAATTTAAATAAGAATGTAGATAGCTTAGAAATGTAATTAGAATCGAGACTCAACAATTTTTCCATTCAGATTCACAAATACCATAAATTGACAAAAGTTTACTAATAATTTTTATCACCTATAGATAATTATTCGTTAATATACAATAGAGTAATACATATTATAACAGTATAAACAGTTTGATAATTATTTTTGTCAAAATAAGTACTTTACTTATTGTAATTCATAAAATATAGAAGATTGCTCTTACGAAAAAATAAGTTTGATTGAAAAACAAACTTAACTTTTCAGTAGAAAATACATTCTCTCATATAAAAAATAAATAAGAAGGTTTTATTCATAAACAAGTACATATACAATGGTAGACTTATTCTTTCGAAGGCGAAATGCGCCCATATCAGAAGTAAGCCCCTCTTCCATATCATTAAATTTACTAAATCAAGAACCGCATATACTAAACTTAACGCTGAGTGTAACCAACATATTTTTTTGAAATTTAGAAAGTAGAAATAGTGTAGTGTGTGTGTATGTAGTGAATGTGTAGTGTGTGTGTAATATTTTCCTTGAGCACATCTTGAATCCCACAATTTTCTAACTTCTGCAACAGAATGGAGGTACACAATTTCAAATGCCTTTTTATGATCAAGAAACACCGCAAGGCAATTCGAATTTTTAAAGACTATCAACAACTACAGATGTAAGGGCTGTAGAACAGCATCTTCAGTCGATTTTCCCGCTTGAAAGCCAGACTGGATGGACTCTTGTTGATAAGAGGGATAAACAAAAGGCGGTCTTATTGCTACATAGCAATCTCTTCCAGACAACCCAGAAGAGGAAATTAATAAAAATAAGATTAATGGGTAGGGTGCACTAAATTAGACAAAAAAAATACAACTTATATACTATAAAATGACAACATACTTAAGGTATATTATTGCGCCCTCCTTTCTGCCAAGGAGGGTCGCGTTCGTATACGGCTTAGAGATCTCTAGTCAGATCGTTAAGCCAGTTCCTAAAAGGTTGGGTTTAGTGGGTAAAAGTCACCACATAACCACGCAGCCGGCTGCGTGGTATGCTATGAGCATTCCCAACCTCCCTCAACCGCTTTCCGGAGGGTTGCCCATATTTGCTTCGGGCCCAAAAAAAAAGGTATATTAGTGACCATAACTAAGAGGAGAAAGAGAGAGGAGTTAAAGAGACAAATAGTGTTCCTTAATTTGTTTCTTGAACACATTTAAAGACTGAGCACTTTTAATGGACTGGGGTAAGGAGTTCCAGAGTCTTACTCCAAGAACAGCAAAAGATTTATCATAAAATGTCGAGGAGTGTACAGGACATTAGAGCGAAAAGTTTTCTTTGGATCGTAAGGAAAAATCGTGACAAGAGCTAAGAAATTTAAAACGTTTTTTCAGATAGGGAGGACTTGATACAATAAATAAGACGCAGTAGAGCGCAGAAAGTATATGAGTATTCCGACGAAGACGGATTGGGAGCCACTTGAGTTTAGTGCGGTATTCCGAGACATGGTCATATTTACGAAGCCCAAATATGAACTGTATATAGAGATTTTGGAGTCGCTCAAGTTTATTAAGTTGCTCCTCTGTGATATCAAGGTAACAAATGTCAGCATAGTCGAGGATAGGGAGTAGCAAAGATTGTGCAAGCGTAATTTTGGTGGAAATAGGTAAAAAGTAGTTAAGCCTTCGGAGTGAAGCATAAGCTGCAAACATTTTTCGGCACACTGTATTAATTTGGGGTGTCCAAGACAGACTGGAATCCAAAAGGATACCTAAATTTTTACCTACTTCATTATATGGAATAAGAATACCATTAAATACAACGGGTTGAATTTGACATTTTTTAATTTTGGAAATAGTTCTTGAACTCCCAATAATTAACTTTAATTAATTAGAAAAGTATTATTCCACAGACCTTGTAGTGATGGTTTAAGGATATCCCTTCCCTATATACCTACCCACGGGACGGGTGTCGGTAACAGGCAACAGAGGGAAACGGAACAGGAGTTGGGCAGCAGCATCTTCCTGATAACAACTCAGACTAATACATACTGCAATTCCCAACCTGCCAAGTGTGGCAAATTTGGCAAAATCCCTCCTATAAAGCAATCTATGATAGGCTTCTATAGATTTTAATGGATGGAATGGATAATACCATGGATCCTCCTGCAAGAAACTGCCCCAGAACAGCATTCGACTCAATAGCCTGTTGTTGCAATCTCCTGCAGCGAATGAGTCTTGCATGACAGGTGAAGCAGACAATTATGGGCTCCTCATCCTCATCCATCTGAAAATATAAAAGTTCATCATAAATATGGGTAACTACTTAAATATCATCATCATCATCATGATCATTACAGCCCTTCACAAGTCCACTGCTGAACATAGGCCTCCCCCAAGTAATTCCACAAAGCACGGTCCTGAGCCATCTGCATTCATCGATTTCCTGCATGTCTTACCAGGTCGTTACTCCATCTAGTGGGGGTTCGACCTACACTACGCCTACTGGTACGAGGCTGCCACTCGAGAACCGTTCTTCCCCATCGGTTATCAGTTCTTCGAGCTATATGGCCGGCCCATTGCCACTTCAGCTTACTAATCCGTTGCGCTATGTATCACTCTAGTTTTACTGACTAATTTCTGAGTCTATCACGCAGAGAAACTCCAAGCATAGCCCTTTCCGTAGCTCGCTGAGCAACCTTGAGCGTCCTCATACGGCCAGCAGTGAGGACCACGTCTCAGATCCGTAAGTCATCACTGAATTTTAGCAATCGTTCTAGTTCACATTTTGAACTTTTAATATACTTCAATCATTAGCCATTTAAAAGTCCACTGCAAGTACGCCCATTGTAAAACTTAAAGTGACAATAAAGTCTTTATAAATCTGACTGGGTGGTGCGACTTTCTTTAAGCATCTGGTTAGGTACCGCCTCTCATCTTAATCTGCCGCTAAATAGTAGTACTTACACTGCTGTGTCGGTGTGAAGAGTACAGAGAGTCAGTATAATTATAGGCCGTGAGCCATTCCATGTTAGCGCTCAGAATTGACAAAGCATCTTTTTTGTTTGAAGTTGGTTGCAGGCGCCCAGTCACTTCAGAAGCTGCGTACCATCAGGTAGACTTTTAGTTCATTTTTCTTTTCAGTTTTATAAAAAACCATATTGGACGATTTATCGGAAATTATAAATTGCTTGTAATATACAGTGAGACAAATGAACATGCTTACGCAGAAGTACCCATTCATCCTTAAGTATATATATATATATATATATAGTGTCCATTTGTAATGTTGAAAAGTTATACGTGGTAGAGCCACGCTGGAGCTATATTATAGTTGTAGCATGAATGGGTCGGCTCGACCGGGGAGTGACCACGCTCTCACAGAATACTAGTGTAAAAGTGTTTCGTATAGTGAGTGTAGAGAACCGGAAACCCGTTTTAGTGGAATCGAGCAATTCCATCTTAGACCTCAAAGTTGACAGCGCATCTGCATTTTTATTCTTAATCGATATTGAATGTAATGTAATGTAATGACAACACGCACTGGTTGTACAATCTAGTTATCAGAGTTTGAGGTATAACTGAACTAAAATATACAAGTTTGTAATAAAATATATTGGCTACCACAAATCTCTTCTTCAACATCATTTTGTTATATTATTGAAGTAACAAATAAACTTACAATCCACGTGATGGTAAGTGGCTGCCTCAGCACATAAGCACCTGCAACAAACTTCAAGCAAAGGCTACAGATGCAATGTGACCTTTTGCAACTAAGATGTAATGCTTCACAGCCCTTTATTAAACTGGCTCTCGATGCCCTTCAGGTTGAGACACATACTGCTGCTTGGTGGCAAGTAAGAAGATGATCACTACCCAGACAGACTCCTAGACAGAAAAAAATCCTACCACCTAGTGAATCATCATCATTGCAACAAGATAGTTTTAAGCCACCTACATTCATCGACTTTCTGTATTACCAGAATGCTACTATCTAATGGGGGGCCACTGTACAATTTGCTTACCAGTATGAGGCTACCACTCGAGAATTATGTTTTCCCATCAGTTGATAGTTCTGCAATATATATATATATATATATAGGGCCCCTGGGCGTGGCTCATCAAAAACCAATGTGCAACCACTTTGAAATTTGTTAGTCGCCATCAAAGGAGAAGCATCCCCATACACTGCATCTAAGCGCTCTTTAATTTCACTGCGTGATTTACCTTTCAAGGGTTGGCTATAGACATCCGGTACTTGATTTTGATAATGTTTTTAGTCTAGGAGGCTTGTTATGGTTAAGCTTGAACCTATTACACTGTTTTTAGATGGCGGAAATGCGTTTTAAATTAATTACGATAAAAACAAATTTCACTAAAAATTGTGTAATAATGAAATGCAAATATGTCAATTTGTTCTCGTATTATGAAGTAGATGTCTAGTATTAGATTTTTAATTTTGTTTTCAATTTATGAGGATAGGATAGGATTTAGGAGGAACCCTGACAGGGTTAAGCTTGAACCATTTACACTGTTTTTGGATTTCAGAAATGCCTTTTGAATTAATTACGATAAAAATAAATTTCCCTAAAATTGCAATAACGAAACGCAAATATGTCAATTTGTTTTTTAACACAGATAAACTCATAAAAAAGTTAATCACTCGGACCCAGACAATCCATTTGTGGCTGGAGATGGGACTTATATACAACAAATTGAGTCACAGTGGAGAGCAGTCAAGGGGTTTTTCAAAAAACAAAATTATAACAATTCAAATTACATTATTTCATTTACCACTATCATAGCAGTGTTTAGGGCAACCAGACTTTATAGATAAGATTGGGCAAATTGGTTCTAAAACCGAATTAGCACACCCCCAACTCCACATAGTCTTGTCTACCTCTAGTGTTTTTTTAAAGCCGTGGGCACGGAGGGAGAGCAGCCCCCGCCCGCTGTAGCAAATCGCAGGCACCTAAGTGAGCCGTAGCGACTGAGGCTGGTCGCAGAAGGCGACCAATAAACCTAAGCTGCGGAGGCGAGCATGGGTACCTGTGATTTGCTACGCAAGGGCAAAGGGGCTGCACTTCCCGCAGTGCGGAAGCAGTTGCAGAAGTAACTTGCATCAATATTCCCATATAAAAAAGTGAGGTTATGATTTACATACAAAAAAAAATATTATTCAAAAACTACATTTCCGGAACGTGGGAAGGGTAGGGGGTGCTTCCCACGACCCCCTCTACCCTTCCCCCCTCCCAACACCGTACGGCCGCTGCAGAAGTAACTTTTTGTCAATATTCCTGTATAAAAAAGTGAGGTTATAAATTTACAAAAAAAATTATTACTCATAAACTATACATTTCCGCAACGGGGGAAGGGTAGGGGGGGCTTCCTATGGCCCCTCCCCTCCCAACACTGTATGCGAGTACCGGACGTCTACAATTTAACCCCTTTCAAAACCAAAAATCGAACCACCGACTGATATTACTCCTTTTCCATTTTTTTTAAATCAACAGACATGCTTGCTTTCACATGTTCTCAAAACATAACTACAAGTCTAATCCTACTAAAATTTCATCAGTAGCCCTCTAAAGGAACATAATATACTATAGTGTATTAATCTTGCGATAGTCGTGCCATCAGGCAGTGAGGCTAAGTACTTATCGGACCACCCTCGTATTTCCAATAATTCACATCTCTGACTAACAAGCACACAGTTTACCTGATGGTAAGTGAATGCTGTGGTCCATATACATCTACATTTATCCCCAATTGTCACCTTGAGGACAAAGACAGAACGCCTCGCCATCAGTATATAGCATTTCCCATTCTCTACACTCACCATATGAAACAGCATTAAGCTGCTATTATACACTGGCATTCTGTGAAGGTGTGATACTACCCCCGTCGAGCTGACCCATCTGTGATACAACCACAATATAGCTGCAACATGGCTCTACCACATATAATATAAGGATAATAACGTCCCACATACAGAATTTGTCCACAAAGGAGACTATTCATCAATGCAGGACTGGATTTAAGTGCGTAAACACAAACTAGGGAGGATGTTAATTTCTTGGAGGAAATTTGCAATAACACTCATTGAAGTGACATATACTAGAACAGACATTGTGAACGAAATGTATGCAGCAGTGTGGGTCGCGTGGAAGGAGGCACAGACTCGGTAAGTTTAAACCCGCGGTCTCTAAAGTTGAGGTTCAAAAGTTCTGGTTGGATTTTGTATCTATTATTTTTTATACATATTTATTTTCTATCTATTATTTTTAATACTAGTATTGAATCTGGTGCGTTTCCTGATTTAATGAAGCATAGTAAATTAATACCTTTATTTAAATCTGGTAGTACATTGGACCCCGCTAATTTTAGACCTGTTTCTGTACTGCCAACACTTAGTAAAATTTTTGAAAAAATTATTCTTGATCAAATGTTAAATTTTTTTAATGTAAATAATTTACTTCGTAAAAATCAATTTGGTTTCTCAAGGGGTCGCTTGACAACTGATGCTGGTGTTGAGCTGATTAAATATATATTTGATGCATGGGAGAATTCACAGGATGCTTTGGGTGTATTCTGTGACATATCCAAAGCCTTCGATTGTGTTCACCATGAAACATTAATCAGGAAACTTCAACACTACGGTGTAAGAAGCGATGCTCTTAAATTAATTATTTCATATTTAAGTGACAGAACGCAAAAAGTTGTCATTAATAGTATGAGTTCTTCCGGGTCGATTGTACAAATGGGCGTGCCTCAGGGCTCAATTCTCGGCCCTTTTCTATTTCTAGTATATATTAATGACTTACCTTACATAGTAGGGGATAACCATGATATAGTATTATTTGCTGATGATACTTCATTAACTTTCAAATTAAAACAACAGTTATTAAATTACGATGAAGTAAATAATGCTATAGCTAAGTTAGTCAATTGGTTTAATGTTAATAATTTGCATTTGAATGAAACTAAAACTAAATGTATGAAATTCGTAACTCCTAATGTTAAACATGTCAATACTAAAGTAATTTTAAATGGGGGGCAACTGAGTCTTGTTGATACCACCATTTTTCTTGGAATCACACTGGACGCAAAGCTTCAATGGCTCCCCCATATATCAAAACTAGCTAGCAGACTTAGTTCTGCAGCATATGCTGTGAAAAAGATTAGAACTCTTACCAGTGTTGAAACAGCTAGAATAGTTTACTTTAGTTATTTCCATAGCATTATGTCGTATGGTATTTTGCTATGGGGACACGCGACTGACACTGAAATTATATTTATTTTACAGAAGAGGGCCATTAGAGCAATATATAATTTAAAACCAAAAGAGTCACTGAGACAAACATTTAAGGAAATTAGTATATTAACTCTAGCCTCTCAATACATTTATGAAAATGTAATGTATGTACACAAAAATAAAAGTAGTTTTACGAAAATAAGTGATATTCATTCTGTAAATACTAGGAACAGACACAAGCTAGTAGTACCAGTTACTCGACTCCACCGAGTCAGTAATTCGTTCTTGGGGTGATGTATACGCTTTTACAACAAAATCCCAGAAAATATACAAAATTTGTCATACACGAAGATCAAAAATGTTATTAAACTAAGTTTGTATAAAAAGGGTTATTATAATATTAAGGAATTTATGGATGATAATAACCCCTGAGAAGGGTGATCGCTACCAAGCTATTTCTAATTTGTCTTGTGTTGTGTAAACATTATTGTAAGCTATTATTGAAAAAAAAATAGTCCCGCTGGGTTTCTTGCTGGTTCTTCCCAGGACAGAGGTTTTTTTTGCGAACCAGTGGTAAATGAAAAAAGTGACTTTCAATAAGTATTGTTATAATCTACATTGAATAAAGAAGTTTCTGTTTCTGTTTGTCACTTTATTTAGGGCTGTGTTTTAGCCTAGCCCGAATCTATCGCATTTTATATCAGGCAAGTTATAATGATTTCCCGATATCAAGAAATTAACGCAAATTTAATTTGTATAAGAAGTAATAACAAACTTACAAAACTGTTTATCAATGTTTTATATAAATTTTGGAGGCCAGTCTTTTTTAGTACACACATGCGTACATTAACGCTTAAACAAATTCTACAAATTTCACTAAAAGCCATTCCTATTTTCTATTGTTTTAATATATTGTTTTAAATTCTCTTTATCACTAATAAACCGAAGTTCACTTTCAATACAACCTACACGACCTACACTCTTAACCTCTTAATAGGAGTGGTCGTTACAAAACGTAACTAGTTACTGAAACTATCTATTCACACAATAGCGGGTAGCGGGTTATTGCAGTGCAACGAAACTATCTATTACAGTAGACGTTTTACTCAGTAACACGATTCACGTTTCACGAATCACGAACGAGCGATCAGTAACAAAACGTTTATTCGGCTATTTTCGCGACGCATCGGCGACGGTTCGGCTGTTGAAGTAGAAGCACATGAGTAGACTAATACCTGTAGAATGGAGTAGATGGCGGCGGAAAATATTCTATAAAAACATCAATACATATATTCATTTGATTTATTACATAAAAATGTAGGCTTGAGATGGCTAAAAATAAGCATTGCATTGTAATAATTATTTGCTATAAAATCAAACTTACATATATTCAAAATTTTATGCTGAACTTGTGGGTGAATTTATCATAATCATAATTATTAAATAAATCGTTTGCCGTTAAATCTTTTCAAGTGATATTTTTATCAAACCGTGCGAAATGATTTAACAAATAAATAAATTTAACCATTAACACCATGTCTAATTCTATACGAAACGGTAACAAACAAGTTTTCTCGTGAAACGGACATCGTTTCATTCGCAACGTTTTTCAATTAAACACGTCGTGAAACACTCTATTGAAGCCGCTATTAAAATAGAGTGTTTCAAAACCCTCTATTAAAATAGAGTGTTTCAAAACCCTCTATTAAAATAGAGTGTTTCAAAAGCCGCTATTGATATTCGATAGATAGTTTCGTTTCGTTACTCAAAAATGCCGTTACTACCCACCGCTACCTCTTAACCTATGCTCCACAGAGTACCTTTGTATAAACTGAAACTATGCTCTTAACTGTGCGATATATACTTTCCTCTATGCTCTTAAACTATGACCGCCACCGCCACTGACCGCCTATTTTCTATGCTCAAAGGCCACTGACCCTCGTCAGCACATGCGTAGTATCCTCTTAGTAGTCTGTGGTCAGCACAGATCACTATATACTGCCCGTCAGGGTAAATGTATTCTGTGCCCTCTCTAGTCAGTAATCTATGCTGTGCACTGACTAGTTAGTACTGGGCGTTTTATTCAGAAACACTTAAAAACTGTTTGCCAAAGAAAAACGAACGAACAGTTTCTCGAAGAACCAACATTAGGTTTAAAAACGACCGAAATGAATACAGTTCTACATTTCATTCTCGGAACTGTCTCAATCACAAAACGTTTACAAACTACATGTTCGTTTGGTAGGTTCATAGGTTGGATCTAAGTGAATACTCTATTACTATTGCTTTATGAACTATTGTTGTATAAATAGAAAACAGTTATAGTAACTACTTTTGATTTGACGTTACGATTAAAGCTAAAATAAATCTTATTTATATCTATACACAATTAAAATTTGGTTGTAGACGGTTGAACAAAAACGAACGGACTGAGAAAAAACACTATTTTTGACTTTCTCTTATTTTTTTATGTTACTGTTTGTGAAGGTCAGCTTGGTCAAACGTACGTTTTTTGTTTTAAAATTTAAATCAGTTTCAGCTTGCCGTTTTCGTCAAGTAACGCTTGTCTACGCTTACTGTCTTAGCTAATTTCGAATTTGCAAAAAAGTGGCTGTATGTTTACACGCGAAAAGTGTTTTGTGTGATATATTGTATACATTAATTGTTTTATAGTTTTGTAATATACCGATAAAACCGATTTAATTTGTAAATATCTTTCGTTCTAATATTTTAGATAGTGTAAATAATGAAAACGTGTATATAAAATTAACTTTTAAATACGCCCGTAACATTTATCAACCTGTGCTAAGCCTGGAAAAAGTATGACGGGAAGTTCGCTTTATTATTTTGTAAACAAACATATGGTGAAGTCGTTACGTATACTGGCGGGATTTTTTTAAAAAACAGTTTTTTTAACTGTTTCTCAGAACTGTTTCTCATTTCAAAAAAAACTGTTTCGTTTCGTTTTACAAAAAACCTGTAACGACCCTGTACTAGCACTGACCAAAGATAACAAAGATTACTGAATATAAATATGCACCAAAAACTACAAAGTATATACACTAAAGTTGTTCAAAACGACTATAAATCAATAGCACGCTATAGACTATAAACTATAAATTTCTAGCGGGCTATTAAATACGCTATGTTATAGCGTGCTATTTATAAGAAAGCGTGTAGAACGCCGGCAAGCGCGTTAAGTTTTGCAGCACGCTATATCTCGTAGCACATTACATTACATGTCGTTCGTTGGATAGACCACGTACTATATAGGAACATTATTTCGTAAGAAATCGCATTTTATACTAAAATAAAATAAAGCGATAAAGAAAACCCAATAAACGCTCTTTCATACTTTTCAGGCGTACGACTTTCTATTATACTAAAAATATTTTTAAGGCATGTACTTTTTAAAACAAAATGAAATAAATTATATTTTATTATATTCGATGTAAAGGTTATTTTCACCTTAATATAAATTATAAATAAATCAAAGGTGTATTTCAAAGTTTATTGATTGTATATACAAATATTAACTATTTACATACACTATTATATACATTTTTGTATCCATATTTTATTAACATTTAAAACATTAGTTAAGCTTATTTTGTAGCAGACAACGGTGTCCTTCGATCACTTATAATACAGTAAGTATACACTAACCAAACAACGTTAAGTCGCGCGCGATGAATAGCGTGCTACTAGATCAAATTTACGTCAGACGTCCACTCCCAACAACGCTGCTGCTAGGACAAGTTGCCGCTAGATATTAATACCTATTAGCGCCAAAGCGCCATATAACCATGGCGACTACTTACATAATACGCGCTACGCGCTATGGAGGGATAGCGCGCTATAATATGGCGGTATGCGCTATATTAACCACCATTAATATATACTGTAATTTTTTTTATTTAACTGGCTTTACGACTCTGGGTACTAGCCCTTCTGAACCTATCATTTCTTTCAGAATCTTCATTTTAGGTATTTTTTCTTCACAATATGCTGATGCGTCACATTGCGAAGTTTTTGGAAGATTTTGACGACAGCTCAACCCAGCGGACTCTTGATAACGACAGCCACTCAAGTTCATAAGGCGCCCAAGCCATCAAATTAACTTGAGGTTTATATCAACATCAAAGCACTTGTTTCGTCGTTTTCTTTAATAGTTCACACACAGACAAAAGACAAACACAAATACCTTTGCTCCTCGTCGGAAAATCAAAAAAAACCTAGATGTTTTAAAATATCAGGGTGCCCTTAATTTATAAAAATCAAAAAAGCTCATGGATGAACTCTGAAATATTCATTGATTGGTATGACAACACTTTTATCCCTGAAGTAAAAAAAAGACAAAACGAAATTGGCAAACAAGGAAATGTATTACTTTTACTGGATAATGCGCCAACCCATCCTTCGGCTGAACTGTTGGAAAGAGAAAATGGAAAGTTTAAAGTAAAATTTTTGCCTTCTAATGTGACATCCTTAAGTATTATTGAAACATTAAAACGATTTTATAGAAAACAACTTTTACGAAGGTTGTTATCTGTTGGTGAAGATAATGTAGAAGTCGTTTTATCATTTTTTAAAGAAATGAATTTAAAGGAGTGTTGTTACATTAAATGGTTGTAGATGCGTGGGATTTGATTGAAAAGAAAACTTTAAACAAGGCTTGGAACAGAGTACTTCATCGGGAGAATGAAAATTTAATAACCAATACGTATGATTCTATTTTAGAGGATATAAATGAGCTAATGTTAAAGATACAAATATGCCAGTATTGTGATGAAGATGATATGAAAGAGTGGATCACTTGTGACAGTAATGATCAAGGCTTTCAGATTATGTCGGATGACGAAATCGTAGAAAACATATTGCAGATAAATGAACAGCAGGAAATGCAAGAAGATGAAACAGAAGAAAATATAGACATGGAAAATGATGCAGGACCATCTCATGATGAAGCACTTCAGGCCCTGGAAACGGCTCTCAAGTGGTTTGAAAAACAAACAGAGTGATACTGTGAGTTTACTACAGCTCAACGAATTCGTGATCAATAAAAAGAAAAAGTGGCTTACGTCAAATGACAATTACCAAATATTTCAAACAAAATTAAACTTATTATTTTATTTCATAATTACCAAATACGAATTACCAAATACACATTCTAAACAAATTATACGTACATACGTATCTATATATTTTATTTCATAATTGAGGCTGCAGTATTTTAGTATGTATGTGTGTAATCTAAGAAAATATGTATGTACACAAATAAGTGCATACATTGTATATTGAAAAATGTATCTCTTAATAATTTTTAATAAACATTGATTTTCGTTGATATTGTTGTTTTTAATAAACATATAACATTATGTATGTATGTACTACAAATGCACAAACCCGCTTTTCTTCATACATTCGACTATCCAGATTTTCGATTATCCGAATCCCTAACGGCAACAATTAGTCCGGTTAATCGAGTTTCCACTGTATACTTACAATATTACCAAATACCCAAATACCAATAAAGGTAGTCTTTGAATATTACCACTGACAGTTTATTCAACCATAGATAAAAAGCTCACTTTTCACTATGGAATATAATTTAATTTATGTTACATCTCTAGATACAAATTAAATATCGCTCACCGTACTTTTAAATAGAACCGTTTACACTGAGATGTGACGTGAATAATATACGGGGTGTTAGTGTAAACACCGTTATCCTTGAAACCAGTGGTTTGGTTTCACATATAGAATGTAAATTCAATGAAAAATAACAACATTTTTTAGGGTTCCGTAGTCAACTAGGAACCCTTATAGTTTCGCCATGTCTGTCTGTCCGTCTGTCCGTCCTCGCTTCTCTGTGACCGTTAGCACTAGAAAGCTGAAATTTGGTAACAATATGTGTATCACAATCACGCCGACAAGGTGTTAAAATAAAAATTGGAAACAAATGTTTTATTAGGGTAGCCCCCCTATATGTAAAGTGGGAAGTGATTTTTTTTTAATTTCAACCCTAACGTGTGATATATTGTTGGAAAGGTATTTAAAAATGAATAGGGGTTTACTAAAATCATTTTTTGATAATGTCAATAATTTCGGAAATAATCGCTCCAAAAGTAAAAAACAATGTGTTCCCCCCATCTAACTTTAGAACCATAAGTTTAGAAAATATGAAAAAAATCTGAAAAGTAGAACTTTATAAGGATTTTCTACGAAAATAATTTTGAACTTGGATGGAAACAACAGTTTTTGTACAAACTCATAAGTGGGAACACTTATTGTGACGGACGGGAAACTACGGAACTCTACACTGAGCGTGGCCCGACACGCTCTTGGCCGGTTTATTTTTAGTGAAATCTCAATTTTTCTTTACAATTATTTCACCCTAGGCGCGTACGCATTGTAAATTCCAGTAAAGACACAGTAGCGGCCGCGGCACGGGCGCGATCTCGTGCGCAGCTCGGTGGTGGAGGCGCGGTAGCGGATGCACGTGTACATTTGATTCGCAACGCCCGCCACGCCGCACGCCGTACTGGCTTCCCGCCGCTCATTTGTGTTTTAGGTCATTGTAGTTTTTGCGTGGGTGTTTTAGTTTGTTATTATGACGTACACGAACGTACAGTAGACTGAAATGGTACTGCTTTATGCCGAAGCTGGTGATAATCTGAACGAGGCTCGACGAATGTACGCAGAATAATTCCCTGGACAACCTGTGCCAAATCGTGAAACTTTGTTGGCGGCCACACAACGGTTACGTAGCTACGGACAATTTACCGTGCCGGCGCATGCTCAGGGGCGTGGCAACCAGCAGCTGCCAGTTACTAGGCTGCACTAAAAGTATCGGGAATGGAATATTTCCACTGTTCCTGTCATATTAAAATCTTTATAATTGAAAACTCCTTGGTTTTAAAAATCGAATACCATTTATTTATTTAAAAAAGATTCTCGGTCTTGTCACAAGATTTTGTCAAACTTGTTTAGTCGTTGAGAAAATGGAATTGACTGGATAAAATTCAAGAGCGATGATTTATTATGACTTTCGAAGTGGTTTAACACAAAAACAGTGTGTTGAGCCGATGATTTCTGCATTTGGTGATGAAGCCCCATCCAAAAACACAATTTGTCGCTGGTTTGCTGAATTTCAACGTGGACGTGTCAAGCTCAGTGATGATCCCCGTCAAGGTCGTCCAAAAACTGCAGTCACCCAAGAAAACGTTGATGTTGTGCGTAAGTTGATTGAGGAAGATCGACATGTGACATACCGCGAAATTCAGGCAACTTTAGACATTGGCATGAGTCAAATACAAATAATCTTGCATGAACAATTAGGTGTAAAAAAGTTGTTTTCTCGATGGATACCGCATTCGCTCTGTGAAGAGCAAAAAGCGGCTCGCGTTACTTGGTGCGTCAGAACTCTCGAAAGATTCCACGCAGGATCCTCAAATGCTGTATACAACATTGTATCAGGTGACGAATCCTGGATATACGCGTACGAACCCGAAACAAAAAATCAGTCACGAGTTTGGATGTTCGAAAATCAGTTAAAGCCAACAAAAATTGTGCGTTCACGGAGTGTTGCAAAAAAAATGGTGGCCACGTTTGTCTCCAAAACCGGCCATGTTACGACTATTCCTCTTGAGAGACAAAGAACGGTTAATGCAGAATAGTATGCTAGCATTTGTTTGCCACACTGAACTCCGTAAAGAGAACTGCAACCGCCGCATCATCCTCCATCACGACAATTCGAGTTCTCACACCGCACACAGAACAAAAGGGTTTTTAGAGCAAGAAAACATAGAATTATTAGACCATCCGCCGTACAACCCCGACCTAAGCCCTAATTATTTCTATACTTTCCCTAAAATAAAGAATAAATTGCGTGGACAGAGATTTTCATCACCTGAAGGTGCAAAACGGCCATTTTTGAGACCCCAACTTCCGAATGGAATGGTTGCTTCAATGATTGGTTCCGTCGTATGGAAAAATGTGTCAAATTTCGCGGAGAATACTTCGAAAAGCAATAAATACATTTTTAAATAGTAATGTTGTGTCACTTCCTTGATTCCCGAAATTTTCAGTGCCGCCCTCGTACCCTTCAAGAACCTATCTTGGATTTCTTCGCGGAGAACTCAGAGGAAAGTAACAGGCGGGCGGCCTGTATTTTCGTTGTTTCTCACTGGAAAATTCTACACATTGATCGTCAACATCCATATCATTTACAGCCGGTTCAAGAATTAAATGAAAACAACCACATACCGCGGATGGTACTTTCGCAATGGCTACTTCAAAATTTTGATAACGTTTCCATTTTATATTTTACGGACGAAGCAATGTTTACATGGTCTGGCATTTACAATGTTCATAATCAATATTACTGGAGTCGGGTAAACGAACACCGAATACGGCAAAACAGTTATCAGCACCGTTTTTCCGTAAACGTGTGGGTGGAAATTCTAGATGGCAAACTTCTTGGACCCTATTTTATCGACGGCCGTTTGAATGCACAGTCGTACATGGCTATTTTACGACATGTATTCGACAGGATGTTGGAAAATGTGCCTCTTCGTTCCTTGAGAAACCTCTAATACCAACATGACGGTGCCTCTGCACATTTTCAGCTGCAAACCAGGGCTATGCTGGATGAGGAGTTTCCTGGGCGATGGATAGGACGTGGAGGGCCAGTGGCGTGGCCAGCGCGTTCTCTCGATCTTACCCCGCTGGACTTTTATGTTTGGGGAGAAGTGAAGCGCCGAGTGTATGCAACTAAGTTCCGTAATACGTCGGAACTCAAAAGACGGATTCGGAGTGCGTTTAGAGACTTAAGGAATAACACTGTTGTGCTTCCTAGAGTGCGAAACAATCTACGAAAACTATGGATGGAAATGGATCCCATTTTGAACAGCTTTTACGATTAATGTAAAAGCTGATCAAAATAGGATTCATTTACGATGATTTTATTTAATAGGTAAGTGTAAATAAGCAATCAATCAGGCTACACATCAAGCTATACAAAACTAGTTTGTCTTGGCCTCGCTTTGTATGATCTTTCGGTACAATGAACGGTCAGCTTATCCTTCAAATGCCCTTTGCGTTCCAGGGCCGCGGTATCCTGCTAAGACAGTCCCGCGAACCTGGCAAGCATTTGGCCCTCTTTCGTCGGTTTGCCAACAGCTCTTTGAGGCGCGCGTCGACTTAGCCTGATTGGACGGCGAGCTACCCTTTGGTTTTGCATAGCTTAATGTGTAGCCGTGTGTGCATAACATTGTGATTAACCTTTTAAATACGCCGAAAATCCAACCTAATGGCTTAGTATTATTAATGTTTCATTTTCTTTGTTGTTAAAAATCTAACTTACATTAATTTGGACTCATCACGCAACACAAAGGGTAGGAATTTTTGTCTGTCCTAAGCCAGGTTGAAAGTATGAAGGAAAAGTTACATCACAGGTTATGTGTACCATTGTGTTTTTATTGGAATGTTGTGTAGGTAGCTAGGGCGGACGGTGATTACGTCAGTCGGGCGCATAGGGTATCCATGAATTTACGGACGGTGTCGGACAGAAACCTTTTAAATTTTATGAAAGAAAATAGCGTTCTTTTTTTAAAATTCGGATAAATATTTTTATATTAAAGAAACTACCTATGGTTTTAGTGACAAAGATTTTTACACTTACACACTGTAATTACATCCCAAACTATAAATATTTTTTCGATCGACCGAGCGATATTTTCATATTACATATTTCGCCTCTTATCCCCCATACACCCTTCCGCGCCTCCACTACGTCGTTAGATCGTCCAATAACGAACGCGCACTGGTTAACACATATTCCACAGTGTGAAGGGCAATCGCAGGTACAATTATATCGGGATATATTATAATATATATTATATACCATAGTGAAAAGCTATCCCGAGATATAAATTATATCCCGCGATTGCCCTTCACACTATGATATATATCTTTTAACCAGTGTGCAATCATCATTGGACGAGCTGAGGACATTGCG